TCCCCCCCCCCCCATTTGAAGCTGTGGTGAAGAATCGATTATTGAGGTGTTCGTTGCTAACGCCCAGTTTATCGATCCTTTTCCATAGGTGTAAATGGCAGATGAATCAATATTTCGAAAAACACTCCACGCCACTGATTATTTCAATTTTTGTTATTAGTTTTTCATCGTCATTACTTTTTGCTGATGAAACGAAAACTTAAAATCTGTTTTTTAAATATTTTTTATAACTTGATGAAATATGTCTCCTCGCACAGAAATTAATACATTTGTATTTATAATATACACACACCATTCTATTATAACGTTGTATATCCAAGACAGGTTAAAACCATTAAGACGTATGATAATACCTATGTTTCCGTGACATACTGTTTTCTTTTTCGGCCACGGTTCTGTCACCCTTCGTTACGGATTCATTGTTACGGTTACAATTTGACTAGAATTCCGAGTAAAAGGGCGTTGACAAAGAGATGTTGCGTTGTCAGTTGCTCGATAACCTTATTGAGAGGATAGGCATATGTGGCGTTTGGGTGCCGCAGAACGCAAGAGTGTGTTGTAGGAGCGTATTTTATGTATGTATTATTAAGTGTGCCAGTTTTTTGACTGGAAATTAAGACACCTAATTCCATAATGCCCCAATAGAACCGAAAATATCATCCAGGCAATAAAATCAATCTTCTGAGCCTGAAATCTCCGAGAATAGCGTTACAGTTTTGCTTTAATTGCTGGGCGGCTAAAAACCAGAGGTGGTAGGGTAGGACCTGCACTCAGCGCGACAGTATGAGCTGTAGAAGAGGACATCGTTCATTCTCGATTTTTACGAGAGTTATAGAAGCTTTAGGAAAGTTGAAGAAGAAAATTTCGAAGGGCCCGTTCTTATCGGACGTTAGGAAATTTTCTCCGTCGCGTAGATAAAAGACCCAGGAGAGTGTTTCCGCGATACATAACACCACATTGATACCAAATTGACGAGAGACTGCATCATGCCAGCTTCCATACAAGAGACTTCAAAAATAATTTTTAATTCTTACGAATGGCAATGCTGCTTCAATAAGTTAATTGCTTCACGTCAAAACAAACAAACACACACTGATGTTGGAGTTGGGGCGCTCTGATAACATCGAGGCATGCTCGAGTGCTGTGCGGAATTGGACGTGTTTTTGCGAGAAGGAACAATGTACGAATGGACTAAATTTTGCAATAAGGAACTACTAGTTCTGGCTCATTTTAGAAACAACGTTTTTACCAGTAGTTTCCCTACGCTGATAGGTGCTATCATGAATAAACCAGTGGTACTTGTTCCTTCCTACGCAGTCGCAAAGCGTGAATGATCGACTATCGATATTTCTCCTTTTTGAAATATGGTAAATTATCGATTATTAAGGTGTTCGTTGCAAACACCCTGTTTATCGACTCTTTTCCACAGGTTTAAGAGGCAGATCAATCGATATACCGCAAAGCGTACCACGCCGCTGTTCCTTAGGGTTTCCGTTATTTTCTCATTTTCTGATTCCCTGGCTTTCCCACGACACCACACTGAAAAAAAATTCTCGGCATTTTTACCAAGGTCCGTTGGTACCTTTACCATCTCACTTTTTTTACCAATTATTGGTAATTTTACCAAGACAGACTAGTAAGCTTACCTAAAAACCGGTATTTTTACTATTTCTTTCAGGTAAGAATACCACTTTTATAGGTAATCAATTCCCGGTAACTTTGCCATTTTACCTCGGTAATTCTACCACAGTCGATAAAAAATATTGGCTTTTTTACCAAGGTCCAGTAAAATTACCGAGAAAATTCAATAATTTTACCGAGATTTCTCGGTAAAATTACCAATTCCATAATTGGTAATTTTACCAAGAAAAAACTGGGATCAAATAGAACCCTGAATTCTTGGTAATTTTACCCTTTTCTTAGTAAATAAACTGAGATTTTCTTTTCAGTGCAAAAGTTTCGCATTCCCTGAACTTCCCTGGCCTTTGAACCAACTTTCCGCCTCTAGATGTTACTCTTTCCATTATTACACTAACTTCTGTTAAACGCTAATCGCGAAATCTCCTCACTTTCCCCATGAATTCCTTGAAATTTCCAGGTTGCTGTAAATTCACTGACTTTCCCGGTTTTCCAGACCACCGGAAACCCTGTTCTTGCAAAGTGCAGTCCAGTTGATTCTCTTGGAAGGAATAAGAAAACCTGGAGGCTGTCACAGACAGTACTTAAGAATGTCTCAATGTATGGAATCTGCACGTGCCAAAATTTGACAAAAGTAAAATATTGGATTCTTAAGGTGAAGCTCTAACCGTAAATGGCAAAGTGCCTTGACTTTAAAAAAAAATCAATCCCTCTTAATTTTTGGAAAATAGACTCAAGGAAATTCCCTAACTTTGCAGACTTTTTTGTTAAACAATTGTAGGCCTACAGTTATACTCAGGGAACCAGCTTCATTATACTGAAAAGCCTCGCTTGATATGAAATTCACAAATGATATCAACTGACAAACTTACGCTTCATGGCTGATAGAGCTTGGGAAATCCGTGATAAAGTTCTTAAAAACTTTGTACATATGCTCGAGAGGGGATTGTAAATAAAAATAAATAAAAAGCTCTCACTTGATGAGCTGAACGCACTCTACACTAACATAGAAAACCGGTTGACGGAAACGAACACAAAAAACAATGGACAAACCAATCATGAGAGCTTCTGACTTGGAAATAGCCAGGAGTCGGAAAACTTTGACGGCGTTGTCACAACTCTTCGAAATTATATTTTGAGATTATTCAACTCCTTGCTAACGCAGTGACGCACATCGTTCAAGGATATGGGATTATTTGCAAATATTTATTCCAAAACATTTCCTGGGAACCTTAACATCTACTAAGGTATTGACAACTATGAAAATATAGTGAGAGTTATTTGCTGCATGTATTAAATACTGAACTTTCAGAATACCTCGCATTCTTGATTTTCGTAGTCCCACTGTACATAAAGTTTTATATTTTCGGTAGTTTTGATGACCACCTTGCCAGGAAACTCAAATTTTAACAGATTGAGAGTTAACCACAAAAAATTCACACCAGGAAAATTGAAATGTTCATTTGGTAAATTCCCTTCCTACGATCTTTGGATCGAAAACTCACTATGAGGTGTCTGAAGGCATGGGGGCATTGTTGATTTAAATAACAGTATTCGTCATTCACACTTCTGCCGCTTTTAGTAATACCCTTTTCAAATTCTATAAAACGCTCTTAATAAGACTGCTACGTATATAATTATAGCCCTGCTTAAAGACTTCAGGATTACCCTATGGTAATTCTAATGTCCCACGCCGCTAGTACCAAGCATGGGTACCTTTTGAACAATTTGAGATAGAAACTTGACATTTTGTGAATGCTTCTGGGTTAAAAAAGGTGGCTTCTGGGAACCCCCAAAATTTTAATGTAAACATGAGGACGTAAAAATGCTTAAAAATTGAGGGTAACAGAGGGGATACGAACACGTAAGATGACAAAACTACCACAAAATCAACACTAGCAATTTGGGAATCAAAAGACTAATTTGCAAAATTCATCGCCAAAGAAATTGTTGTCGAAACTATCTTTAGTTTTCGTCGATATGCTACCTTCAAGCTACTGCTTGGGCCCATTCCACCTAATGACACACAATGCTTGGAAACTAGGCATCTGGGGTGTCAGACGAGGGAAGAGGGGATAGGAGATGGTAAGTGAGAGCATAAATTAATGCCAGTGTCGCCGAATACCAAAAAAGTATCAGGAAATTATCATGCTTGATCGGTTAATTGCCCAGCCTCGCGTAAAGATTTGAGAAAAGTAAGAAACTTTAGACAAAACCTCTACCTTCGACAAAACTTTATTTCATTGATAAAGAATCGATGTTCGATACATAAAAATGAATCCTGGTTCGAATAGTTGCAAAATGGAGCAGACTACTCCTCAGATCTGCACCAGAACTGAAAGGTAGAGTGTTTTCTGCTAATTCGGCGCCACTGTACAATTGCAGGAGGAAATGAAATTTCAAGCCCAGGAATAGCGCGGCCCAAGTTGATTACGGCGTAGCCACTTTTCGTGTCAAAAACTTTAAGTGTTATTCGAATTTCTAAGAGTAGTTCAGATAATTTTCAAAGACTTGACAACATTGGTTGACTCATTACCATACAAAAATACGAAGGGGAATCAGGTATTGCAAAGCAATATTACTAGCATTTAGAGCCACCGTAAACACAATACTACCACATAGCTGTCAAATATGTTTAGATATCTTTGACAGCTATGGAATTCCTTGACCTTTCTCCTTTGAAGTGTAAAGAAAAACTGCCCGACCATTCGATAGTGCTAATAGGCTACACGGGTTCATCAGAATTTTCCCGATGTCGGTTTCCCACTTTTTTTCTTGATTGTGCTGGAGCATTAAGATTAGGTCATGGACCGACATGCGAGAAAAAAAGGAACAAAATAAAAAGGAAAAAGTGAGAACTCAGGACAGTAATAACTTTATGACACGTGACTGAGGGTATATGGATTGATATGGGCGAGATGAGGAATGTATAAATAAACTTGCTGGAAGGTACGAGTGTGGGTATATAACACCACTTTTTCTTCTTCCTCTTTTTTGTCACCGTTATGCAACCTGACAAATGCGACGAAACACCATTCGTGCCCTCTTGGCTAGAAGCACATTTTGAAATAAATTTTAGAACTCATTGGTTGACTTCTTTAACAAATTAGAAAATTAATGGTATTACAGAATCGAGAGAAACGATTGTTTGGGACGGGACGATGAATTCAGGAAATAGAGAAACGACTAAAAAGTAACGGCAATTGCCAATTTTCTTTGGTAAATCTTGACTGCATTGCGAAGACAAATACCAACATATTGACTACAAATTAGACTACGGTGCGAATTTTACACAATGTTGTGCAGGTAAAGTATAGTAATAAGCAACTCGCGTAGAAAAAAAAGATGGAAGAAATTGGGGAACTTGCATTCACAAACTCAAACAAGTTTTACGATGACGTCTGATAAACAACGACGCGACGGTACTACTTTTTATGATGTGACGTGAAACGCCAAGGCAAGCTTTGGAAAATGTTTGACACATTATTGGAATTCTTACACTTATTAATATTTATCATTCTCGTCATATTTTTTTTTAAAGAAGAACACATCGAGCAATTTAAGTTCTTAACTACGGAAGCAAAAGGTGGTTCCACTGCGTAATAAGGGCCCTTAAAAAAATATCTTCGTCCTTCGTACTCATATTTCAGGATGTTTATTTAGAAACGCACCTGAGTTCTCGTTTAAAAATTTGTGGGTTTAAGAGAGAAAAATGAGCAAAATCATATTTTCGAAACCTGCAGGGCTTCCATCAGTTTTATTCAATTATTTTTGTACGTTTTTATCAGTAAAAAGTTCTCAGAGTTATTAACCGACTGAAAAAATTTACCTCACTACCTCTACTTTCTGAACAGGTTTTCTCAGTGCGATAATTCTTGAGAGCGTGTTCCATGATTCAGTTCTTACGAAATGTCTCTGAACCACGAACCATATCTGAATCGACGTATGCAAAAACTCCGTTGTCCAATACAGGGTTTCATAAAGTTACGGTGGGTTTCTTTCGTCCCACGACACTGATGAATAGGATCGATCTCTTGTGTAAACGTTTAATAATTACACTCAGGAGATTATTTCTAAAATTGTTTTACATTCTTCTTTAATTCTTAAGCATTTCAAAATCATGAGTTGAAAAACGCTGACTCTGCGAGTTTAAATATTAGAGCCAAACAGAGCGGAGCGGCGTGCAGCCAGCGCGAGAGGCTCACTGACGCCTACAAACCTAAGGGGATACTTCACGCATTGCGCAATGTTTGAAGTATCTACTTAGGTTTGTAGGCGCCAATGCGCGTTTCGCGCTGGCCGCCCGTTCGCCGTGCCGCGGCATGGCACCTCAAGCAACTATTTCACAACAGAGGTGTTGCATAGTATCATTCGAAATTGAAGGCGCCCCGACATATTGAGAATGACGGGCATTCTTTAAGAATACGCAGCGTTCTCCGCAAAATAAATCTAGATGCTACGGCACAAAAAGAGAGCGGTAGCCCTAAAACTCATCAAGTCCTAGCATCCGTGTTTAATAAAGTTTAGCATAACTTTCAAATTTCATTAGAGAAAAAAGTGACTCGATTTAGGCAGAAAAATTCCTGAGTATGCCGTCAAGAATATTTTATTTTGAGTCTCAATAATAATTGGTACATGGACCAAAATTCCCCTGCCGAAAAAACGCGTGGGCGTAAACTACTGGAAAAAACAGGTGCGCTGACAAAAAATCCTTGACAAAATGTCCTATAACCCTACAACCTAAACGCTCTACTGAGTGTGCCTGTTAATGTCATGTTTTTACGGAGGAAAAAGTGTCTGTTCTCATTAAAGCCAAAATGATAGTTCTCTAATATTTTTCTTTAATTTCTAAATGTTATGCTTTTTAATATTTTCCTTAAAGTCTTGCAGTATGTGACAAATCGATGTGAAAATCGATGATAATAAGGTAAAAAAAAGTGTGCTCTCATTGCTAAATTTCACGATTTTTAATTATGTATAATTTCTTAAGAGGAGAAAAAACCAAAATGTCTCCTTGAACTTGATAAATGAAGAAAATGCATAGAAAATTGTAATGAAAGTCGCTTCGTTCGTTCTACTTAGAAGACAAAAAAAGAAGAAAAAAAACATTGGCAGAGATATGCAAAGTTGCATTTCGAAAATCCCGAATGTCTTTCGCCGGAACTGCTCTGGGAAAGCATGCAGAATATTGATTAAATGCAACAGTTAATATTAATAACTTACATGACCAAGGCAGAGTTTTTCATAATTCGGCCACACGGGCCGAACTGCTGAATCGGACTCGGGGCATTGAGAGACCTCGTTCTCCTGTAACAAATGGAAAAAACACCATTAGACTTGACATTTTCTTGTACATCACACATTCATAAAAAACATACATAAATGATTCCAGGTGAGGCAACCTGCCTTGATACATACCGATTCTTTTACAAACATGTTTATGAAGGAAACTCATCGTCATTGTTACCATCTTAAGAGAATTGAATCATAGTGAGAACGAAAACACACCAACTCGAAATAAAATAATCAAGACAGGCACAAAACTGCACAGAAGGTGAAGATTTTAATCTAAGAAAAATATTTTTAGTGCCGAAAGAAAAGTGCTTAAGGATACTTTACAGATGCAATTTGGAACAAATGCGCGAACTTCAATGATCTTTATAAAAATTGACTGTTTTTAATGAAAATTGAGCATTTTTAGGTTACTGAGTTGATGTTTTCGTTCTCACTGATTATATTGTCGATTTAGCGAGGAACTCATCATTTTTGCGGTGCGGCAGTGACGATCCTTGAAATTTGGCAACACTACTTTTTCTCCATTTAAATATATGCAAAACAATCGATTCTCGGCGAGGGAGCTCGCCTCGCCTGAAATCGATACTTTCGATGGTTTTAAGTGAAGTAAAAGAGCGTTGCCAACTTGTAAAATCGCCACTGCGGTGGGGACGTCAAAGCAAACCATTTCTGACATTCTGGCAGCATCACCGGTGGAGCAAATAAAACACTCGAGTTAATTATTTCCCACACGATCGCTTTCCGCGGAACCCGACTGCTAAAAACCGACTCCATGCTCCAAGATCATATTTAAGCCATAAACTTATGACACGCGAGAAGATCAAACACACACGGCTAAGGATTACGTCGAAAATTACGGGTAATTCAAGGATTCGCTTACGTAAGCTGTCCGGGTCGTGTTGAAAATACAATAAATTGGATTATACGAGTGAGGAATGTCTCATTTTGTGGATTGTTGATTCGAGGAACAGCGAGTTGCATTCACGAGGGACTTGAAAATCAGTTACAGAACCAAAAAGGTTGCGTGGATTTATGATGCAAAAGTTCGCGAGTTGGAATTCAACGCTTAGACTTGGTCTAGGCGAAGATTTGCGCGCTGATTAGGAAACAGTGCTAAAAATGGGACACATTGGTGCGGTATAGCGCTCTAAAATTTCCTAAAGAGGAGAAACTACTCCCTGATTGACTAATCGATTGCGTCTACATAAATGCACACATATAAAGAATGAAAAATAGGGGCGAGAAATGTAAAGTTATTAAGTTTGACCTACTTGCTTGCTTTGGACATTTCTGGCGAAAGGCACGACGCTATTTTGAAGAGAGGATTGATTCAGTTTTCATGAAAGAATTCAAGGAGGCATTGTAAGCAAGTCGTTCACACAAAACATATCCTAAAATTACGAAGTTCTCGAAAAACTTATTTGAAATTTTGATGATACGGTCAAACTGTTTTGAATGAAAACCTTACGAATTTGAATGAGCGAGGATTCTCGAATTAGGTCCCGAAAACTTGTGAAAAAAAAATGTCCACAAAACTGAAACGTTTGCTACACAAAAACACACCAAAATTTGAAGGTATGATAATAAGGCGACTGAAAATCAGAGCGCCCTGAAAATTTGAACTTTAAAGAATACTTAAGAACGAACAAAACGCACAGCTAGCACTCGGTTCCATCACCATGCATGCAAATTAATTCACTGACGATTTCAAAGTCGACTGAAAGCACGTTTCGGTTCACACTTTTAGGCCAAAGCCGCGGCTGTTTTACCACGTGAAAGATCACGGATTTGACTCGCGAGGCCGCAGATAAACTCTTGAGAAGAGTTGACCCAGTCCATAGTCAGCAGACATGCGAGAACTAAATTATCTTTTTCCAGGTATGAAACGTTTTGCATTATTTATAACACTCGATAATAGAATTTTACTATTTGAGATCAACTCCTAGAAGTAGAGACTTAAAGTTGTTACGTTTCATAAAATTATTAGAGCTTTTTCAAAATGTAACTAAGCAGTTCAAAACCTTATGACCTATTTAGAGATTAAACCTTTATAACTACTGGAACTCATGAACTCATCATGACATTGACTGTACAAAGACCTGCCAAATTTATTGCATTAATAGCATTTTTACGGGAATTAAAAGATACAATCCGCTTGTTTTTTCGTGTTTATCAATCGTGTTCACTTATGACCCTGTCAGGCGAAGAGGACGGACCACAAATTCTTGTTAAATAACACCGGAATTTTTTAAGAGTTTTCAGTTTTCGCAGAATCACTGTTTACGAACTTTAAACTTTAGTGGCACACGATTGCTTATCGACTCTGAAATTAAGAACTGAAGCTTTTTGACTTCTATCCGACGGAAGCATTCGATGATTTTGAAAATGATTGTAATACATAGCTTCAATATGATATCCAGGCTTTACATTTACGTTTTTCCATTCAGTAACTTTAGAACTAACTGGATAAAGCCGCGAGTCGTGAATTCCGAAAAACACTCACTTAAAATTCACCCTGGATTTTGTTTCATGATAGGAAAAAATAATAATTCTCACTGCGTTGATGGAAATTTGGAAAAATCAAAGGACTAAACGCAGTGCTTGTCGATTAAAATAAGTGCATTGTCCCTGTTTTAATTTTAACGTTCGATCGTTCCACAAGTTTGACGTGCTCCTATTTCAACAGGGGAGTGCGCAAAGAAGTGGTCACTGAGAGAGGAAAGAACAACTGAAGATTTCATGACGTTTGAAACACTCAAGCTCTTTCTTGAGAGATTTTTGAGATTACAGAAAACAAGCGATAAGCAATAATTGCCTCACTGAGACACCACAAACGAGAGGATCGATTTTTACCATTGATTAAAAAATCAGTTAATAACTTAATGCACATCCATTAAAGAGTCCAGATGATTAAAATGGACTCGATTGTCAATAATATCAACACTAGAAATGTATCAGGCGATTAAGCACAGAAATCAGAGCAATATTGTATAAGGTTTTCATTATGTAAGTCAGTTATTAATTGTCAAATAGAGGAACATAAGCCTAATGTTCCTCANGGGGGGGGGGGGGGGGGGGGTGAGGTATCCCTTCTACCCCGAAAACACAAGGGTGCGTTTCTGGAACACACTTGTGAGCGTTACAGGAATGCAACGTTATCACGTTATGGGACCCAGTGTCCATCCTCTCTATAAACAAACGTAGCTCTTAAAGGGAGCAAGAATAATTTCAAAGAGACTGACCTCCTGACATAATTCATCATCTCCTCATCGCAGTACTCGATGTCAAGTCCGACCCGCTCGGCGGGCGGACTCACATCGAGGTACTTCATAGGGGCGAAAATGTTTGAAACTCGCGGGACACGGAAGGGGCCGAAGCTGGACGCGCATGCGCCAATTGCGCCACTCGCGGACACAGATCGTAGACGCGGACACAGATCGCAGACGCGGACACAAATCGCGGACGCGGACACGTGAAAACAGCGCGCGCGCGCCCCCGGAGCCGCAACTTTTATACACCTTCCAGCGCCGCCCAACGAAAATACTCGGACGTAAATCCGCGTGGAACGGGAGAATTTCGCGGGGAAAATCGCAATCGGCGACGCTCCTTGCGGAGATTTACAACGGGCGCACAGTGGAACGAGTCTTCGAACATGAAATTTTTCACAAAAATTTAAAATTTCACGTTTATCTCGTCGCGATTTTAATTTTTAGGTGTGCATTTCACAAAAAATTTGCGAGAAAACCAATGAAAGTACTTGTAAACATTAACATTCAGGGTGTCTACTAAAACAGGCTGACCAAAAACTAGTCCTTCTACAGTACTTTTTCGGTACATTTCCACAAAATTCAATGCCTCCTCAACAGGCAAATTCAGTATTTCTCCAGTACCTCTATTTGACGAAAGTCGAAAATTTTCAAGAATTTCAATTTCTCGTTCAAATTGAGACGAAAATGACAGAACAATGAAGACATTCCGGACCTCTCGAGGAATTTCCACACTTTTTCAGGACTTCCGGTTCCGGATGTCCCTTAAAAAATCGGTACTATTACCGGATTTTCCGGAAATTCCGTACTTGTAGACACCCTAACATTCCATACTAATGAAGATGTACGCTTTTAAAGTTTTTAAATCACGTCCGACCTCTCTCATCGACTCGATCCACTGTGCGTCGGCTTGGTAAATTCCATTAGCCGGGTGCAACTTCTAGCCTCAAGGTCGCCGAGCGCCAACGGAACGCTTTCCGGACGAGGCGACAAAATGCGGGAAACTGCTCCGGCTGGGGCGTTAAATCCCGCCGATGCCGGATAAGTCACCGGCTCGTGGGTCCGCTTTCGCGGGAAATTCTTTCTCGCATCTCCGTGACATCCTGGACGGGAGGAAACTCCACTCTTTAAAGGCAGACTGTGCATAATAACCATTCTCGATTACCGTATGGGGCCGTTATATATCAAGTATTACGTAACGCACTAAGGAGGGGAGGGGGGTTCGAGCCAGCGTTACGATGCGTTATAAGG